TTAGTTCGTTCAATCTGCACGTGAAGAATCGCTACTTTATCTTAAGGCGCTTTAACAATTACCATTATCATTATATTAAATATACAAATGAATTCGGTATCTTTATATTTTTTTAAATTTATTTACAACACTATTTTAAATTTAAATATTATTCTGCCATACTATTATTTATGCATACTATTTCTAAGTACCAACATTAACGTTTTCAAAATGCTATATACTTTCCAAAGCATACAACAATAATTTCATAAAACATAGCAATATCTAGAAATATACTCGGCAGTGCACATTTTTGCTGATTAGATTAAAAAGATTTTTTGTACCAAATTATCAGAAGAATGATGAAAAATGGTTTTCGTACGACTATAAACTATAAACTAAAAATTCGTCGATAGATCCCGGCTAATCGTCGATATCAATTGCCAAAGTCCAGACCACTTGACTTCTCCAGATTATTACTTGTTTCGATCATTCCACAATATTATCTGATTTTTTTGGAATTATAAAAGAGGAAACAAACACAAACATCCGTGACTCGGTTCAAAACCATCAAGTTTTTATCGACACACACACACACACACACACACACACACACACACACACACACACAAAGTCAGTTGCCTAACTTAGATGAAGCAAATCATCGACAATCGAATGGAGAGTATATTTTGATAGTTGATATTTTTTTTACAAATACTTAAATTGTGTGTAGTATAAAAAGAATTTGCCGAATCTATTTGTACGTTTACAGGATCTGTCTTATAATTAGTGACGCATCTTTCATGGATAGAGCAGATTATACCGAATAGAAAAACCTTCTATCATTTCGCAATTTCCACATTTGATAGAATATTAATTTATAAACTATTTACTTATTTAATAAATTTAAAAATTTAAAGATCAGTAGGATTAAATATCTTGTCTATAACCGAGTGACGCGTGAATCTTTTTCTTACTTGAACATTTCGATCTACATACATTATTTATTTGTTATAAATTTATAAATATCCGTGAATTAGCCTGCAGAAAGTACTGTTTCTTCTCTTGAAGAAACCGTCCAGAGTTGCAAGATGCGCGTTGCAAGATGTTTGAAGATATGATTTACAAATATGATATGATATGATGGAAGATTCGCTTACTGTGCGTAATGCACACTTTTAAACACACATTTGATCATGCTTCTCGCGACCGTAAGAGTGTGTAATATTGGACGCAATAAACACTTATTCACGTAAAATTTATAAATTAATGCCTAGTTAATTATTGCGAGAATCGTAAAAGAGAATCGTAAAAGGGGGTAAAAAGAGGGCCTTTATATTCGGTATAATCTGCTTTCTATCTGTCTACGAAAAGTGTGCATCACTAATTATAGAATATAATTAAAAGCCTTT